AAGTCAGCATGGTGTGAACTCTGGAGTAGGCCAAGTCAGCATGGTGTGAACTCTGGAGTAGGCCAAGTCAGCATGGTGTGAAATCCTGGAGTGGGCAAGTCAGCATGGTGTGAACTCTGGAGTAGGCCAAGTCAGCATGGTGTGAACCCTGGAGCAGGCCAAGTCAGCATGGTGTGAACTCTGGAGTAGGCCAAGTCAGCATGGTGTGAACCCTGGAGTAGGCCAAGTCAGCATGGTGTGAACTCTGGAGTAGGCCAAGTCAGCATGGTGTGAAATCCTGGAGTAGGCCAAGTCAGCATGGTGGGATTCCCTGGAGTGGGCAAGTGGGCGCGGTGGGATTCCCTGCCTTCACCGCGTCAGGTGCGAGGAAAAGCCCGACTCGGGCATCTAAGGGTACCCACAGCTTCCGTGCCCCTCGTGCTACCCCTTCCCTGAAGGTGAGACGGCTGCCGTGCTGCCGTGCTGCCGGATTCATTCCGCCGTGGAGCCCGCCTCCAGCTTGTCTGTGCCCCTGCACGAGGGCTGCTGCTGGCTCCCATTTCTCCCTGCCCGTTTCCCAAAGCCACCGGACACAAAGCCTTGCCCAGGTTCACCGGCGTACTGGATGCCTTGTTTTTATAGCCACAGCGCCACGGGGGAGCCGTGTGGCCTGTTAAGATGCTAACTTACGTTCCCTCGGGTGAGCAGGCATGCACGTCTGCGCGTGTAACCATCTCTCCATTGAGCTGTCAGGGAAGACCTTCAGTGCCGCGTCACAGGTGCAACTGCATCGTCTCCGGAATGCGAGGCTTTGGTCCCTGGGGACGGTTTTCCACTCAAGCCCATGAATGGCTGGAACATTCTGACCGAGCAGCCGAGGGTGCAGGCTGAGAAGAAGGCCGCTGCCCCGAGAAAGGACCGGGGTGAGCGAGGGGTCGAGTGTCTGCCAGTGACACCAAAACCACAGCACAGTCCAGGGCCGGTGACCACAGCTGGGCTACGGCCACGGGACCTGTCGCCCAGTGCATCCAGGTTCAGGCAGAAGCTACAACCGCAACAGGATGAGAAACAGGAGCTGAGTCAAGGGGAACAAAGGTGAACTGTTAACAGCAGACAGAAAGAACCGCTTGAGTAGCCATATTAGTTCATTTCACGTGGGTCAGAAAGATACAGTCGCCAAGGACACTGGCAGCCAGTGTGGGAGTCCCGGGAGGGGTTGAACAGGAAAACCCAGTGCTGAGGACGTCTCCCTGGCACCAGGCTCCTGGCGAGGCCTGGCCTGCACCCCTCTGCCCCTTGTGCAAACTGCTGGGCCTGATGTTCCCCTGCGCTGCTGCTCCTCGTGGGACTGTGGAGACGCTTCTGTCTCAGCAGGGCGAGGCATCCGTGCGTGGAGCTGACGAGTGCGTAGCGCCAAGCACAGTGAGGAATCTACGTGGAAGTCGTGGCCACTGGCTGCTGCATGGGGCCAGGTCCAGTGTGAGCGTCTTCAGCACTGCTGTCACTCAGTCCTCCTGACTCTGACACAGCAGAGGGGTGTATCGCATGCCACGGGGTGTCAGGTCGGGGCTTGGACGTTAAGTAACTTGGCCCTAGTGTTACACAGTGATATTTAATAGTAGGGCTCGTATTCAGCTGCGAGCGGTTGGACGTCAGAGCAGGCTCCCTCCCTGCTGTGCTGGTAGCACTGAGGTTGTGTGGGGCACGACTGGAGGGAGTCTCCGTACTGGCGCCACCCTCAGCAGTGTCCCGTGAGTGACCTCTGTAGCTCAGACTCCCCCATGATGGGCACGCCGAGTCCGCCCTTACGGCCTCACAGACCTAGGACTCCTGAGAAGACGCACGTACGAAGGGACTTAACAATGTTGTGGAAAGTTAGATTTAAAAGATGAGTATGGATGGGAAAAAATCCAGAAATCTACATGTAGGTTTTTGCACTGCATGGATTTTCCATGAACTCTGAGGCCCCTTCTGTGCATGGAAACGTTTTGCATCGAAATAAACAGCCGCTCATTCCACTGCCCAAAACCCTAGTGAAGAGCTCTCTGTGCCCACACAGCTGCTGCAGCAGACAGCAGGCAAGTGAGGGACTCCCTGGAGGTCAGATGAGGAATTTCCAACATTAAGTGTCAATCGTTGCAATGAAATCCTAGCTGATAAACAGGTAGCTGTCAGCTGAGAGAGAGATGATGGATGACAGGTGCGTGATAGGCACAAGTGTGTGCTGCTCCGCTAACTGCACACTCAGTAAACTGTGCTTGGAAGCTGGAAGTCGGAAAGCTCTCGCAGAGTCGGGTGCTTCCTGGCCCGAGGAGAGGATGGGTGAGAGGTCGGCCCTGCACCGCCCGCTGCTAATGGGGTCACTGGTTGCTCTGTGCGTGCTCTCAGGGTTTCGCGGGCTGGCAGCCGTTCCACTCCGTGGAGGGCCTGAGCGGAGTTCACTCCCGGCGATTTCTCAGTGCCGCCTCCTGACATGGGAAAGCCCCCCTGGGTATGTAACACTTGATTTTCCATACCCTTGTAGCAACACATATTGCACCAAACACTGTAGGCACATATGTAGGGTACATATTTCCTGAATAAATTAAGATGGAAACAATGTTTCAACATTGCTACATTTCCAGTCACTTATCCAAACTGCTACAGAATTTTTGGAGTCCATTGCGCAGTTCCAAGGTGCCCACTCAGTATTTGCACCCATACATTATGATGTGTTCTGTCTTTGTAGCATAACCTCAGCATTCATCCTGAAACACATGCAATCAATCACTTCATTGCCTTCTACTTTCTTCCCAACAACCTCATTGGCTTTGGTAGCGATTCCTGTAGACCTCCACTCGTCAGCAGTTTCCCAGTCACAGGTAGCCAGGCGCCCCCGTGCCGGTGCAGGCCTCTGTCCGCCAGTGCCAGCAAAGCTCACGTGTAGTGAAGGTGGAATATTGCAGTACAGCTTATCGATACAGAGTAGTAACCTTTGGAACATGCCAGAAGAAGTGTGGGGAAATCAGTCTTGATCTTTCTCCACGAATGTCATCAAAAGCATCAGTTAGAGCGTTCTGTTGATTCTTTGCGTGTGCCCTGCCTATCTGGAGAGACCAGCTGCGGGGCAGTTTGATCTTAGCGGGCGTTTCTTATCTGCACCACATGTTGACACGTGCAGGATGCAACAGGAAATTTTCACTTTTCTTTTCATATTTTTGCTTAATTATTTTGTATTAAGCTAGGAAAATGATTAGGTGGTTTTGTTCCATTTACATTTTAGTAATATTTTCTTACTGTCTTTTTACATCTATTATTAATTAAAGGAAAAGTAAATGATAAATTGCAATATTCATACAACTTATCAGGCCATAAAATCCTGTTGTGGTTCAATCTCTGGACTTCTATGTTCTAGGTCAGCAGAGACTTTTTAACCATTCATTTTAACATGTTATAAATTAAATTGGTTACTAGTTTGTTTTTCATAAAACATTTAAAACCTAGTATTTTTATTGTTTAAAAATTTGTGCAGATTGATTTTATGGAAACAGGATGAACCTCAGGAATGAAGTGAGCTCTTACGGGCTGCACTGAGGAGCCCAGCACTGCTCCACTCCACGGTGGGCTGCCTCTGCTGAAGGGGCCGGCATGACTGGGAGGGCCTGAGACCAGGCCACCCTTCTGGGGGCAGACGCCCGGGGACGACCCAGCGCAGACGCCTGCATCACAGTCCTCATGCAGAACCAGGGTTGTGCGAGTCGGGCAGCTGGCTCTGGACAGAGCCTCAGAGCAGGTTTTCACTTGTCTGAATCCTGAAACAGTAGCAGGCACTTGAGATGCACTGACTCACTGAACTCAAGAGAAACCACTTGCTGTTGTATGACTGGTTTATTCTGAGACGGAGAACCGTCCCGTCTGCTGATTCACTCCCCAGTGTGCTAGTGAAGGATTCAGAGGGTGCTCACAGTGAGACAGTGATAAGGAGGAACACGGGTGTGACTGGGATTGCAGGCACCCAGGAGTGTGGTGGTGCCTTACCCTGAGAACACGCCGCTGGCTTTACCCGCGTGAAGCGCCTTCTCCCGGTCACTGCCTGTTTTCTTTGTAGGCTGCTTCTCCTGGAGGACGGCGGCCTCAAGATACACAACGTCACCAGGTCGGACGCTGGGCCGTACACGTGCCTAGCCACAAACCAGTTCGGCACTGCCAGGGACACCAGTCAGCTGATTGTGAAAGGTATTTCGTTGTCTTGATCTGTTCTCGGTGCGTGTTGGAGACACACGTGTGCCGTGCCCTCCGTGACCCTGTGAAGTCTGCGTCACGCTATGTGTGGAAAGGCCTGGATTTACTAAGATCTCCCTAGGATGCACCTTGGGCTGGTGGGTACCACGGTCGATGAGAATGTTGGCAGTTGAAGTGCCATCAGTGTTACAAAACCCGCACCAAAGCCACTTGATATGGCCCGGGATCGTTCAGCAGTCACTGGGTAACGGTTTCCTCCGTCCTCACACATGTTTCCCATGACTGGAAACACTCAGTGTGCTAAGGAGGCCTAGGTGCGCGAGTCGGGGCGCGGGGGTCTCTTGCCGCCATGTTAGAAAGCAGGTCTTTCAGGGAGGAAAGCTGAACTCGGGTGTCCACGTCCAGCAGACAGGCCGTGCGGTTCCGCGGTGAAGCCGCCTGCCCCGGGTCAGCCAGAGGTCCCCGCCGAGGGGTGTGGCTGCGGTCAGAGAGGCTGCTCCCCGTGTTCACTCAGGCTCAGCTCACAGAGCTCCTCCGGTGCCCGGAAGCCGCTCCCCGCATTTGGTTGCCTTCCCGTGATGGGAATGGCGTCTCCATGAAGCCGCTCGAGCAGCTGATGCGGCCCAAGTGGTGAAACTCACACTGCGAGCTTACAGTAGAAGTTACTGCCAGCGCCTCCCCTGTCGTTAAAATGTGCCAGGCAGAGCACGTGCCCACCGTGGTCCCTGCAGGGGGTTTCTGTCAATTCCTCCGGTGTGCCGCGGGCACGCGTGCCTGACACACCCTGCCCGGCCTGGTGCCCCGGACACTGCACTGCCTTCCGATTGCGTTGTCCTCGGTTTCTACCACAGAGGTGGGCTTTGTGTTCAAGATGCGTGCCAAGGCTAAATTTTCTTTTAAAGATTTATTTATTTATTTGAGTTAGAGTTCCACAGAGAGAGGAGAGGCAGAGAGAGCGAGGTCGTCCATCCGTTAGTTCAGTTCCTGGATGGCTGCAGCAGCAGAGCTACACTGATCCGAAGCCAGGAGCCAGAAGCTTCTTCCGGGTCTCCCACGTGGGTGCAGGGGCCCAAGGACTTGGGCCACCTTCTACTGCTTTTCCCCAGGGTATCTCTCCCGAGTTTTCTGGAAAGCCTCCCGTACTGAAAGGTGTGCGTCCTTGGTACGTGAATGGTACCGTGTCCAGTGAGCGGAATGCAGAGTACTGCGTTACTCCAGGTGAAGACGGCGCGGGCAGTGTGCGTGCGTTGTATTAGGCAGCAGGTGAGGACTGGCAGAAGACAGAAGGCACTGTGATTACAGGCACCAGGTAGGGAGGATCCCAGGGTCGCCAGCGTGCCATGTAGAGCGTGCGAGGCGCCGGCAGTGGAAGCGTGCGCTCCGGGAGCACAGGAGGCGGCAAAGCCCAGTGACCACACCCGTCCCCAGCGGCCAGGCAGAGCTGCAACTGCGCAGCCTCGGGGCGCACGGTCCCCTTCCCAGTCTTTGCAAAGATTTTGCCAACATGAGCTTTGCTGCCCACCAGTAATTGTGAAGAAAAATAAGTGAATAAAAGGCAGAGACTCACGTATGCGTGAACCGAGAACCCGGAAGCGGTTGGGCTGGGCCGGGCCGGGCCGGGCCGGGCCGGTGCTGGATGCACGCCACGTATTCCCGGCACGGAGCATCCTGCGAGGTCCACAGCACGGGAGCACAGCTCTCGCCCTGGAGACCAGCTGGTCTGGGGGTGCTGCGCTCCCCTCTGTCCTCAATCACAAATGAGACGGCTCAGTGAAAGCACCGACCGACGTACTCTTCTGATACAAGTGTTCTTTGTGGGGCTGTTGAAAGAACCAGCCCACCCTGCCTGGCCACGGACCCTTGCAGACCACTGAACCCTCTCACGACCACGTCCTAGGTGTTCACCTCCCGCCCCACCCGGCACAGGGCACCCAGGGGGCAGGGGTCTTGGTTTTCATCAGTGACAGGTGATAAGTGGCAAGTCTAGAATGTCCCTGGGAACTGTGTGCCCAGGTGCTGCTGATGACCGCACCCCGAGCTCATGGACGTGGCCTCCATCCTGTTCCTCAGGGTATAAGCCTCTTAGTGCACCTGGCGAAAGAGCAGCGCAGACTGTCGCTTTGCCATCCCACACGTTTGTGCTCTGGTGTGGGGAGGGCGGGCAGCTGCACAAAGACCCTAAGGCTCCGTGGGGCTGCAGAGCTGCCACCTGCAGCACCGGGCAGCGGTGTCACTCACAGGCACACAGCTGACGTCAGTGTGCAGTTTCCACGTGCGCTGTCACGCGTTTCTAATTCAGGGAGAAAACTTGGCTGTTTTTTAACCTTCACGAAGTCTCCGCTCCCCATTTCAGGGAACGTGGAGCCCTTGTCGTCTTTGCCATTGACAAGAACCCACACCATGCAGCATAATGCTGCACACGTCACACATCACAACCGTCACGTATGATAAGCATTATGCACATCACCACACAATGCAAACATGGACACATGTCACAACCATCACGCATGATAAACATTACAGCATTACACAACACAAACATGGACACATGTCATAATCATGTATGATAAACATTACACACATCACACAATGCAAACATGCACACATATCATACAATACACAGATCACACAACCTAAACATACACACAGCACACAATGTAAACATACACACATCACAATGTAAACATGTACGCACATCACACAAAGCAAACATGGACACCCAGCATCACACAATGCAATGTACACACATCACGCAATGCAAACATGGACACACACATCACACAATGCAAACACATACACACAGCATCACACAGTGCAAACGTGCACGTACCTTACAGTACACACGTCACACAATACATACATCACACAATATAAACATACACACATTACAATGTAAACATAAGCACATCATACATTGTAAACATGCAAACATCATATAAACATTGCATATATCATCACACCACATGAACATACACACATCACACAAAGCAACCATGGACACACACCATTACACAAAGTAGGCATGTGCATATTGCACAAAAGCAACCATGTGCACACATCACCACACATGGCAAACGTGGACACATCACAGTGTGAACATGTGGACACATCACACAAGGTAAACATGCACACACCATACAAAGCCAGTATGTATGTAGATCATCTCAAAATTTAAGCATACATGCATCATCGCACAAAGTGAATGTATACACAGGCCATCATGCAGACACCCAAATGAATGAAACGTCCATTTGGGCACAGAATGTGGGCACAGCACGAGTGAGTGCGCTGTGCTTTCTCAGCCGCCTGGCCGCCACGCAGGCACAGCACACGCCTGGCTGTCGTCCGCACTTCCTCTTGGCCAGAGGCCACCTGCTTCTGTCCCACGCAGGAATGCTGGTGCTTAGTCCTGTGCAGGGACACCCGTTTCCTTTCGTTAATGGAAAGGCAGAGAGAGACAGAGGGAGAAGACCTCCTGCTGGTTCACTCCCCACATTCCTGTAACAGCCAGGACTGAGCCAGGCTGAAGTGGCTGCCGGGAACCCCATTCCCGGTCTCCCGGGTGGGCAGGGACTCAAGGACGCGAGCCGTTCCCTGCCTCCTCTCAGGGTGTGCATTAGAACGGGGCCAGCAGCAGGGCAGGGACTCGGATCCAGGCTCTCAGCCTAGGACGCAGGCGTCCCAAGCAGTGTCTCAACCTCGCGCCCACGTCCGCCTCCTACCCACGAATTCTTATTTTGCAACCTGCATCTCTGAGCTTTCATCTGGGGAAGAATGTTTTCCACCACTTCCTCATCTCTTGCATGCGCAGCCTTCTGGTTCCGTGCTAGGATGGCCATGTGTGTGCATGCTCTCAGGCTGTAATGTTCTGATTTTCGTAACAAAGTCAAACGTAATTTTGAGTCTCAAACCGGCATCATCACATCACGACCTTAACAGCAGTAGGGTGCGGAGGAGCAAATGAGAAATTTCAGTAAAACTGATAAAGCAATCATCTCTCTTTGAATTTACTTATCAGCCTCAGTCATGCGAGAAATGTTGTTGTTAGATAACATGTAAAAAGATAATAGTTACAAGAGTCAGATATTTCGCAGCTTAGTTTTTGGCTGATATGGCTTATCTGTGTAAGAGGATTCGGAAGCTCTGCACCGCGTGTCGGGAATGTCTGTCTCCCTAAAGCAGCTGGGCGAGGCCGTCTTCCACGCAGACTCCCGAGTGCAGTTAGCAGCGCTGAGCCCCGGGAGACGCCCAGAGGCATCCACGGACGTGTGCTGCGCGAAGAGACGCGGCGTTCCAGGGTTTTCACGTCAGAGGACACGGATTGAAATCACGCTGTCTGCATGCAGCGAGAGAGATGAAACCGCCTAAAAGGAGCACTTACCTGCTTTGGCACTGAGCACATTCCTGGGGAGCAGAGTAGCAGCAGGCTGTAGAAGGGATCTCGTTTGCAGGCAGCATTTGTCTGTGCCTCCCCACCGGAGAAGCTCTGCGTGTTCAATTACAGGGCTCATTGCTTCAGCATTATTTGCTGCTGAAATGTCGGAACTTGGAAAAGCATATCTAATGTGCAAATTAAGTTTATTGCTGCTCGTTTTGTTGTTTATTCTTTGTGCTCGAAGACTTTATTATACCAGCACAGAGAGTGGCCTCTTCACGCTGTGCAGTGGCCCAGGGTCCTCACCAGGGTGGCCACCCTGCCAGGAGCAGCCCCGGAGACGGGCAGAATCCCGGGCTCTGTGCCGGCGGCCGCTAGAGGACTTGAGGAATGGGGGCAGCTGCGTCAGGAAGCCCAGCCTGGGTAACGCAGCCGAGGACCTGCTAGAGCGCACCGGTCACCCTGCGGTGGGGGACAGCGCCGGACCGCCCCCACCCCCGCCCCAGTTCTCTGTGCCACAGCCCCGTGTTCTACAAGGAATGCACGAAAACGTTTAAACAGAAAGGGGACCTTGACTTAAGAACCTGATGGGGAGTTATTTTCAAGTAGAGAAGATGAA